TAACAAGGGAGCCGTCTGAGCACTAGTGACTGGGTTTTACCCCTTTCTCCTGCTCTTCCTTTAACTGTCTATAAGGATGCAATTGACAACAGCAACTGAAAGATTAGATGGGAACTTTAGGGATCAGTGAGTTTATTTTAATAGGAGAGGAACAAGCTAGAAAAGCAAGATGAGAATGGTTACACAACTCGAAGTATATAATCAGTCACTGAATTTTATACACACACACACCACACACACTGTTGAATTGGTTGGTGTATGTTTTGCTGTGTATATTTTCAACAACAATAAAGATAAATAAAATCTAGAAAAAATATCTAATAACCCATCCAGCTTTTTAAATTAAGCAATAAACCTCTAATAAATTGGCATTAAAAAAAACAAAAAACTTCTCAGCAGGCCACAAACTAGGGTTCAGAAGTCAGAATGACATTTGGCTTCTCAATAGTATCACTTGACATTGTAAGACAGTGAAAGTTTGCCTTCGTGATTTTGAGAGAAAATTATTTCTAATCTAGAATTCTATAACCAAACTATCAATCAAGTATGTGGAAGGATAAAGACATTTTCAAACACGTAGAGTCTCAAAAACCATGCCTCATCTGCATCTTTTCTCAGGAGGCTGCCAAAATAAAGGCATCAGCCAAAACAAGGTTCTAAGACAGTAGTTCTCAATTGGTTATTTTGTGTTCTCCTCCACCCCCTACACTTCAGCCTAGTACATTTATGAATGTCTGAAGATAATTTTTGATTACCACAGCTAGAGGCTATGTTACTGACATCTGGTGAGTAGAAACCAACGATGCTGGTAAACATCCCCCAGTGCACAGTACAGTCCCCCACAACAAAGTATTACGAACCCCACATGCCAGTAGTGCCAAGGTCTAAACCCTGTTCTAAACCAAAGGAGAGTGAAGGGAGCTCCCAGGATGATGGCTCTGTGGCAGGCCTAGAGAGCAACTAGCTAGATGGGGATTTACAGATTTCTTAGGAGCTCAGGTGGCACAGTATTTAAGTAATTTGACTGCTAACCAGAAGACTCATGGTTCAAACCCACCAGTAGACTGGAAGTAGACTGGAAAATCTACTTCTGTAGAGATACCACCTTGGAAACCTCAGAAACCCAAAGAGGGGTCGCTATGAGTTGGATCGACTAGACAGCAGTAAGTTTGGTGGGTTTTTTGTTTTGTTTTGTATTTTGGTTTTGACTATGTAGAAAATAGTTTTAAAAGGGATATTTTGAGTGGTACATTTAATCCATTTATATTCAGTATAATTATCGACTAGTATGAATTTCTTGCTATCATTTTGTTATGTGTTTTTTCGTGGTTTTGCCAGTGTCTTTGTTCCATATAACTTTTTGTGCTGAACTCAATCTGTTTATGAGTCGTGTTATCATTTCCTTCATTGCTTTTGTTGCTGAACCTCACTCCTGTGGCTTCCAGCCAAACAATAGATAGGCATATGGGCTGAACATTTACATCAGGTAGATACACTCCTTGGAGCAATCATTCATGGGAGAATAGAAGGGCAGTGTTTGCACAGGGAGACATCTGGGGCAGGGGGAGTACAAGGAAGGGAAGGACATAGGGAAGATGTAACTACAGGGAGGAAGTGGGAAAAGAGTTGGTACATTGTGGGAAATTACAGTCAATGTCATAAAACAAAATGTGTATAAACTGCTGTATGGAAAAATGAATTTGCTCTGTAAACTTTTACCCAAATCACAGAAAAAAAAAAAAACTTTTTAAAAAGGGGATATTTTTCCCAGGTATGTAGTAGAGCTGACAAGGGACAAGGGTGTTGTCACTTCTTGACCACAGCCAGCTACCCAGAGGGGAGCAAGTAGTTGGACCTGTGGGCTCAGGATCGTAGTCACAAGGGATATCAAGCTCAATTGGCATAACATACTACACCAAACATTGTTCCACATTCTACTTTGGCGAGTAGCAACTGGGATCTTAAAAGCTTGCAAGTGGCCATCTAGATGCAACAGTGGGTCTCTCCTCATCCAAAGCAAAGAACAATGAAGAAAACCAAAGATTCATGGAAACAATTAGTCCAAGCTACTGGTATACCATCCGATCTGCAGCCTATACAACTGTGAGACCAGAAGAACTAGATGATGCCCAGTTACCACTGTCAACCACTCAGAGGGAGGATCTATGTAGAAGATCCTGTATAGAGTGGGAAAACAATGTGGAACAAAACTCAAAATCATTTGGGGAAAAAAAAGAAAAACAGATCAGGTTTGCTGGTCTGATAGAGCCTGATGGAACCACTGAGACTATGGTCCCTAGCTGCCCTTGAGGTCTGGAATTGAACCCACTCCTGTGACTTCCAGCCAAAGAAAAGCATATGAGCTGAACATTTACATTAGATAGATACACTCCTTGGAGAGAACAATCATTGGAGAATAGAACGGCTGCGTATGCACAGGGAGACAGCTCGGGGGAGGAGTGTGTGGAGGGATGGACACAGGGAAGAGGTAACTATGGGGAGAAAGTGGGAGGGGAGCTGTTGCATTGTGGTAAATTGTAGTCAGTGTCATGAGACAAAGTGTATGTGAGCTGCTGTATGGAAAGTGAATTTGCTCTGTAAACTTCCACCCAAATCACAATTTAAAAAGGGGAGGAGTGGTATTTTGATCCTGAGGGGAGTGTGGGAAAAAATTTATGGTAGCATTATAGAACACTAAGCCAAAAAATAAAAGCTATTTTTTCTGGGGGTGGGGGGAGGGGAAAGAAATGTAATCATAGTATAGCTCGAGGCTCAGCTTTGAAATACATTTTTATGACATACTGTGCTACATCATGGGACCTCTGGTAGTATAGTGCCTAAGGCACTTGACTGCTAACTAGAAAGCTGGTGGTTCAAACCCACCAGCCACTCCTTGGACAGAAGCTTGGGCAGTCTGTTTCCATCACCTTGGAAACCCAAAGAGGGGTCACTATGAGTGGATCTGACTCAACGGCAGTGAATTGAGTTTATTAGTGCTACATTGTATAGCACATTAGCACAAGAGAGCTAAATCCTTACCTCCCTAATAGGAATGATAATCAAAAGTTTTTTTAAATATAGTATAAACGTTATTAGAAAATGGAGACAAACCCAGGAAAAACATGTAAATGAGTGGGGAGAAGTTACCTCTAAGTAGTCGCTTTCAAGTTGAGAGAGCTGGTAGGGCAAGGATGTGCTGTTTTTGTTACGTAGAATGATTTGACCTCTATTTTAAAATCAGACATTTATTTTAAATCA